TCAGACTGTCACAGAGTCACACTATATTTAAGGTCAGGGTCAAGCAATACTTTCTTGGTAATGCTGTTTAGCCTTGGCCTCATTGGCTTTAGAATTAATCATATTTAGGATCTTCATATGCTTCTCTAGGTTTTAAGTGTGTAATTTTATCTATTAAGTATGTTTAGCTTTAGTAATTTGGTGTTAATTTCCAGTTTATATTATCTTTTTATTGTATAATTTAATTTTTTATGTTGACTTTTGATTGTTTTCTAAAATTATCTTTTTTATTTCTTATTTCTACATGCAAAGGTTGCCTGGAAGAAATCGCCATAGGCGATAAGGCCGCCTTTGCACAAACATGTTTTATTTTGTATATGTAATTCTATGTATCCATGTTCTTATGTCTATGTTTGTGCAATAAAGAGTTTATTATTATTATTATTATTAGTATAAATATTTTTTTCATTTAAATAAAACACTTTAACGGTTTAAAATGCGATATATAACTGATATAGTTAAACTTATTCGAAAATGATTTTTAACTTCGGCCCGACGTTTCAAATATGTTTAACTAATATATCGCGTTTTAAACCGTTAATGTGTTTTATTTAAATGTGTACTACTCGCGTAAACTATAGACAGTATTTATTTTTTTATGCTAACTTTTTATTAATGTTTCCTACCGTTGAAATACTTAAAATAGTAAACAAGAAAAATTTTACGCGTCAAATAAACCTGTAAATTGAAAACCAAGCGTTAATTCTATATTAAAATAATACATTTGGTTAATTTTGTCATTACATTAATTCACTACATCAAAGATTAGATCGAAGCCCTCGAGATCAACAGCTCCTAAATTGATAATTTTACTACCTTCAAATTAATTTCATTAGCTATTCCAGCCCCCTACGTTACTATGGACACAGAGTAATTATAACACTCGTACATGTAATAACATTTTACAAGTTTCAGAGCACGTCATTAATATTAAATAACAAAATATTCTCGAATATTACAAAATATAAAAAGTGACATGATGATATATGAAATTTAAACTTCAACTTCAGTCTTCATATAAATCTAGTGATTTTTCTGCAGTCAGATTTTTGCCATTAGAAAGTTTTGGAGCTTTATACGCTAAATGCAGTGCCCTTACCGAGAAATTATTTGTCAAAATGACATTTATATATCTTATCACTAGTTTTAATATCAAGCTGAGTGGTGTCCTTTCATATACATCTAATTTATAAGGATTGCTAATTTGTGGTATTTTTAGTATATGTGACACAGTGTGTAGTTTACGCGATTAGTACACATTTAAATTATGGTTTAAAACGCTATATATTTTAGTTACACTTAGTAAAAAATAATTTTCAAAAATGTTTAACTAAAAAATATCGCGTTTTAAACCGTTAAAGTGTTTCATTACATTATTTATATGTGAAATGATAGCATTTTGTCATATAAATTGAATCTCACCTAAATAAACATAACAATGTGAATAAAAAATGGATGTCTCTATTGTTCACATTAGTCTGTGCCATAGCGTGGTAGAACGTAATCAAGAAAAAATGGCCGCTTGTCACACCGACTCGTACCACTAAATTAACGACGTCCAATTTAGAAGGATAATAGACGGATATTTCTACTAACACTATCTAATGAGGGGCTTTTGCCTTGATTTAGGTAAGTGCATTATTATGTATAAAGTTTGTTCGGGCGTGTTTTTGGAATTATTTTTCTTAATACTGCTTTGACTAAGTCTTGATAGAGATGTTTTTATTATAGAGAAGGACAGACAATGGTCTTCACTTATTGGAAGTACTTCAACCATATTACACTAAAAAAGGTGCGTGGCCGACCTATTTGGCTTTAGGTATTGGAAAAACCACTGTCTGAAACTGAAACACGATTCCAACCACCCATTTGAAATCAAAAATTTTCGTCGAAGCCCAACTATTACCAAAAAACAATGTAAATATTAGACACATGTTAGGCCCAGTCGGTATCGAACCTACGCTATCCGCTAATTATTACCTGCTATTTACACCATTTCCTATTACATACACTTAATTCAATCAAATTTAACAATCGATTTACATTTTAAAAAAATACGACACGGGCGGGATTCGAACCAAAGCGTTCCGCGTAATTCCTCTAACCAACTGAGCTACCGTGTCACACACGTCATTGTCGATTTTAAGTTGTTTGAGTGTAAAACCTGAAAAATGGCGGATGCCAATTTAACTTGAACATAAGACAACATAACACAGTAAATAAAGAGGATTAAAATTTTACGTAGCGTGTTCCCGTTTGCTACTAAATCGTGATTGGCGACATCGTCTCTTGAATTATGAACCGGGATTACAGAAAGGAAAAAAGATTTACAAAATCCCAACGAGCAACGGTGCTGCGAATTTGCGGATCATTATATATTCAAGGACGGCGGCGGGGCCTATTCTTTTACCGTTTTCGAATCGATTTTCGTTCCATTGCGAAGTGTGTTTAACATATTGGTTCGACCTATCAATGTCTCGGTACGTAAATTGAAATCAACTTTTAACGGTTTAAACCGCGACATATATTAAACTATTGCTTCTCTGGGTGTTAAGTGTGTTATTTTATCTATAAAGTATGTTTAGCTTTAGTATTTTAGTTTTAATTTCCAGTTAAAATTATCTTTTTATTGTATAATTTTATTTTTCATGTTGACACTTGATTGTTTACTAAAATTATCTTTTTATTTATATTTCTTATTTCTACATGCAAAGGTTGCCTGGAAGCAATCGCCATAGGTGATAAGGCCGCCTTTGCACAAGCATGTTTTATTTTGTATATATAATTCTAAGTATCTTTGTTCTTATGTCTATGTTTGTGCAATAAAGAGTTTTTATTATTATTATTACAATTTTCTATTGAATTTAACTACGTTTTCGGATGCGTTGAAGCAGCCGTGGTCAAAGGGGTACTGAAGATGGCTAACCATGACGGCTAATAGATGGCGCTAGCTAAGATTTAACTTTGACATAAGGAACGCCCTCCACCTTCAATCCCCCCTTGACGACGGCTACTGCAAAGCATCCCTTGCCTCCCGTAAATAAAATTTAATTTTACACATACTCATTAACGTATCGAATACCGAAAGCTGAAATAAGTCGACTACGTATCTTTTAAATGTCTTGTAAGGTTGTGGTATAATTTAAAATCGAAAATAAATTGAAAAATTTTTCGACTCGGGCAGGACTTGAACCGACATCGTCAGCGTTCCGTGCTGTTACTCTTTTTCAATTTATTTTCGATTTTTAAATTATACAGTGCCTTCATGTGCAATAACATGTAAGAAATAATAAAGTTTTCAAAGTTTGTGGTAATTCATCTTCTCCAGTCTGAATTTTTTAAACAGAAGAAGACTGGGCTGGCTGTTTTCTTCTGTTTTAAAAACACTGCTTTCAAAGTCATTTTCAAAAGCTAAACTACATATTTTATGTACTATTACCATAGACACAAGTTGACATTAAAAAAGCCGCTTAAACGTCCACTAAAACTATGTCCCGAATTTCAAAGCGAAGAAACGCCATTAATTTCGTTAAGGCGACCACAAAAACAAGGAATCTAAACCACCGACGTTGTAGCTGATAAATTATTTCCGTACTAAAATCCACACAGTAGTAACTCAGCCAAATGGGACGTAAAAACACATTTTAGTTGCTCTTGCAATTACGTAATCATCGCCAAGGTGATTTTGGAGAATGGCCAACTATTTTTTGGTCTTGGGCAGCCGCGAGATGCGGTTTAACGGTAAATGGGAATTACTTTTTTGAGGAAAGGAATTTTATGGGGAAATTCATGGAATTAATCGTTATCACACGCCACTATTTTGTTTAAAAAACAATTGATTTCAGAAATAGCGATGTCAGGATTATTTTATTCTTATATCGGTGTAACGGAAACGCCATTAAATTTCACGACAATGGTTGGGAACTCAAGCGAACTTCGATGTTTCGACCACCAATTTAACCAAAGTCGCTTAGCCAAAGTCCTACATGATTTAAGAAAATCCATAAATTGATTAGAAAAATGTTGGACCGGGTTTGATCTAACCTATAATTATGGGCTCATAGTCATGGTTTAGATCTATGATGTGGATAATGTGTGGTTACACATTGTTACCATATCACCAACGCGTCCCTCAAAATAAACATTACAAATCGCTTTTATTTTTTTATAAACCAAACGGCAGTCATTTTCTGAATTTTACAATTGTAATATTGTCCATTCGGGCATTTAATTTTAAGTTACTGGAGCTTTGTTAATTTTGTCGAAATTCGGCATTTACCAATCAGAATGTTCCCTCAAGCGCCATTGATAAACTGGCATCACGAATTTGCTCATTCAAACGTTGTACAATACTGCTAATAGCGTATAGAGCTACAATATAAACGGTAAAGAAAATTTAAAATTATAAAAATGTGTAAATGACATGCAGGTAGGTTATAAACGAATTTCAAAACTACCCACATATTGGGTATTATCACGCATAATGTCCAACTCTAATTATATATTTATTTATATGAAAGCTATTAAGTATAATTATTTATTAAACATTTATTTTTTAATTAACTCAATACGATATTTTTAATGAAAAACAGATCGTTTTCGTATTTCTTAATTGCACAAGGCATTTGCGACCATATTGCAAAGCTACTTCGTTTTTGGACCTGTTCGGCCGCCGTTATTTGAGAAATACTTCATTTTCTAAATAAAACACTTTAACGGTTTAAAACGCGATATTAATAATTCATTGATAAACTGTCAAAGTGTTTTATTAAAATGTGTACTACTTGCGTAAACTACAGAGCACGTAAACAGTATTTAATTAACTTTCGTAACTTTACATACAACATCTCATGATGACACCCACTCGAGCTAGCAAAACCTCGTGATAGATTAAATCCTTAAACCAAGTAGCTCTCGCATTTGTTAAACCCAAAGAATACCGTAAAAATGCAATCCTGTACCTTGAAAGTTTCCACCGATTTCCTCGTGTTTTCCGTATACACTTTGATCAAAACTTCCCTCGCTTCATCGTAGTTGTGTTGAGAGATGTGGTACATAGGACTCTCTGGGAGTAGAGCGTACAATATACACGCGAGGCATGCCCACAGAGACAACGCTAAGAAATAGTAGTTCCAAGAATGGAGGACTGAAAAAAAAATAGAGGTAAATATAAAATACTCATAACGGTTTAAAGCGTGAAATATAGAATCAGCGTCAAGTTAAAGTTATATAAAAAAAGAACGCTGAAAAATTGTTCTTGACAATTGAAACCGAAACGAGAATACTCTTTACGTCCTTTCCCGGACGTAAAGATCCAAGAAAGTTTAAATATCCATATACCAGATTGATAATTATATGTAAAAAATCCAAAATTAATAAAAAAAAGACTCGGGCATGACTTGAACCGGCATCGTCAGCGTTCTGTGCTGTGGCTATTACCAAATGAGTTACCGATCCCACACCGAATTGTCAAATTTTTCAACTTATTGATACATGCGCCTCTCACGCATATTTAAAGAAATTATAATTATATGTTAAACCTGTTGGGAATCGGACTCACGACGTTAATTATTTATTTACTCAAATATACATCAACAGATCAGAAGGTACATCACTATACAATTTATTAGTACATGTATACATCACTAACAAGTAGTAACAAAAAAAGGGTTTAAGTGTTGCGAGATGAACTAATTACGAATAGATATTGTTGTTTTCCTTATTCAAAATCATACCATGAACGAGATCGTCAAAATATCGTAGACAGCCTTACAAAGGTCAAAACACCGTTTTGTGTAATATAGAATAACGGCATGATATAAATAATATATATTAGGATTTCGTCAACATAAATAACATCTCTGTCATATTGTAGTGAAAGCTTATTGCGAAAGAAATATGAGAACGATTATTCTTCACATGTTTATGACAGGCACATATTTGATAACGCCCTAGGCTTCGCTGGGTGTCTAGAAGTCACGTTGGTGTACCGTCAGCAAAGGTGATGTTAAATTATGCTCGGGACAAAGTTTTAAATGAATATAACAAGTTTCGACTGATGAAACTTAGACTTTATATTAAATACGATACAGATATTTTAATGTTGATGATAAAATAATTATATTATAATATAAAATATTTATAAAAATTATGTAGAAAGCCCCACAACTGCCTCAAGCTATTCCTAAGTAAATAACTATTTGACTAGTTCATTTATGTTAGCTATGAACCACAGTTTATGACATAATCGTGTTGTAGATAGTAAAGTTGTATTTAACAAAACAGCTACGCATGGCATTGACATTAAGGATACCCTCCATCTTCAGTCCCTCCCGTGACCGCGGCTACAAAGCATCCGACATGCCCGGCCGTAAAGTAATTGTAAATAAGTTAAGTAATCAATTTCGCATTTTAATCCGTTAAAAGTGTTTTCTTTTAATGTGTACAAGCGTAAACGATACACAATACTAAAAGTTTATATGTCTAATATTGTTCTGGGGCAATATCTAAGCTAACGTATGAATCCCCAATTTTTTACTAACTTATACACCTTTGCATTTGGTGCTATATTGTTGGATTAAATATGTCACAGTTTGAATATGTCGTAGATCAATAAATAAATGTGCCAAAAAAGATACTTACCAAACATTCCACCAAATAGCGAAACATTCCAATCCTGCAAAAGTATACCCCACGACATCAGAGCCAATACAACTTGACCGATTGGAATAAAAGAGGACGCCACTATCATTATTTGATCTCTCACTCCATCGTGGCAGAACTCGGATGTCAGTGCTAACATAGAACTGTATGATGCGGCGAAACTGTAAAAAAATAACGTATTACGTCAGCATAATTATACACATACTGTCCTTTTTCCTCCAATCAGTGAAAACAAGAAATTGTGATCGTATAACTGGTTTTCATCTATTATAGAACTATAAACGGTAGCAAAACTACTTTTAATTTATTTATTTCACACGCAGGTACACAAAAACAGAACATACAGATACACTATACAGTTATAAAACTAGAGTGTACCGGGCAGCCTTATCGCTAAGCGATCTCTTCCAGGCAACCCGAGTAGAAAGAAACTGAATAATAATTATAACTAGACAAACTTACTATTTACTTATGTGACTCAAATCATAAAAAAAATTATCTCTAACAACACAGTAATTTAAATAAAACACTTAAAACGTTTAAAACGTGAAATGTATGAGAAATTTAAATAAAACACTTTAACGGTTTAAAACGCGATATATTAGTTAAACTTATTTGAAAATGATTTTTAACTTCGGCCCGACGTTTCGGATACTTTGCAGCAGCCGTGGTGTAGTCTCCCCGTGACCACCTTAAACCGTTAAAGTGTTTTATTTAAATGTGTACTACTCGCGTAAACTATAGACAGTATGTATGAGAAAATTTTATTTTTTAATTTAATTTAACTATGGCCCGTCGTTTTGAACTGCCTTGCAGCAGCCGTGGCTATGGGGAACTTTAGCGAAATTTGCTACGCTAGCGCCACCTTTCTCAAAATCTGGATGTGTAAATATGATTAGAATAAAAAAAATATTTAATATAAATAGAATTAATCAAATCTGTAAAAAAAAGCAGAAAGGATGTTGCGTCAGTATAAATTTATGTCTATTAAATTATGTCGAACGATTTGAATAATATCGAAAAGAATAAAAAATACGTTGTTGACAGTACATCAAATTTCACTGAACGATTTGGATACTCTATACCCCTAGCAACAGTACACTAGCACTTGGGGGAACGAAGAATTCCAGCGAAATATTTAGACGTCTCCTTTAATATTCAATAATTTTATCGTGCTGTCCTTTATCATTCCCATTCTTTCAATCGGGATAATTCGATCTGTCAGTTTCCTGCTTACAAAATGAAATTATTATTTCCACTTTGTCTGCTGACGCTACGCGAAGGAATCGCGTCGATAGGGATAGACACTTTGCGTAATCCAGGCGACTGTAAAATATAGACTGTGATATCTTCTTAGAAGAGGACATTTTTCATTATTCCCTCTGAATTATGAAATTGATGACGCAATTGTGATTAGGTTACGTTTACGTTTTAGATTAAAATTACAGTCACCGATATAAAAAGTTTACAGACAAATGATATGTTAAATGTAATTCTGTGAACTGTATCGAAACAAAGAAAGCTGTCATTTTTTATGAAGGAAGACAGACAAGTGGGGGTTCAATTAAACGTAGGTGAAATATCCCAGCTGTACAACATCTTAACAAGATGCGTTGTCGCCCCATTTAGGCTTTGGATTGCGTAGCAAGGCTAATAAACTTAACGGCGGTTTATCTGTGGATGGTGGTTTGTGACCCGAACAGAAATTCGATATTCTACAATATATATGATATAAATCCAACGTGTTAGAGAAATAAAAATTGCTTGATGAAGAAACACGTTGGACAGTGGGAATCGAACTCACGACCCGTTAAATATCAGACATACATTGCTACCATTAGATCCCAAGAGGCCGTCAAAAAGCTTTATACGTTTTCTTTTTACAAATAACAATAAACAATTTTCAATACTTCATTTCCATCTAAATTAATTGAAAAATGATGTAACAATCAAATTTAATTTGCTTTACACAATGTAAACGCTTCTGTTTATGTTGTAGTTCAAATTGAAGTACCATTTATCGCTAAAATTCATTATTATGGATAATTAAAACCGTTAATTAACTGTTGTAATTACTGATTTGATTCTGAAAGTAATAGTAAATTTGATTTTGAATCGCTTTGCGCACTCAATCAACAACACCAACTCAACCGTAAAGTTGGTTCGATACCCGGTTCTAAAATATTGTCTTTTGCGACGTCTGACAGCTGTCTTCTGATAAAATTTAATCAACAATCTGGCAAGTACCGATTTCTCTACTTATATTTAAAGCTAAACAGTTTATTTGTTTGTTTAAACGCGCTAACCTCACGAATTACTGGTTTGAATTAAAAGAATATTTTTGTGTTCGTTAAATTTAACTATGAAGGTTATAGGATACATCTATTCTTTTCTATTTTATTTATTATTTTTGCTCTGTGAAGACATATATTTTTATTATAATTGTATCAATTATTATTTAGTAATTATTCAGTATTTTTAAGCTATATAACTATAAAATATATACGTACATTAAAGGCTGTTTTGAATGTAAGCTGTACATTTAAGTTAACTTACATTTAAATTTACTTTTATTCCAAATTATATTTCGAATAATTAAGTAAATAATTACGTAATCACAGCCAAATTAACTGTCAACTGACATTGACAGATGTCACATCAGCTAACACTTAACGTTAGAGAAGCGGCCATCTTATTAATGCAAATGGATAACGCGCCCGCAATTTATCGACGTGAAATTTAAATTAATACTTGTCATCGATAAGTAAATAAACCGCTTCTAACTGTTTAAAATAAGAAAAATAAACAGTTATTTTATTTATTCAACTTGCGTAAACTTCAGATAATAATGAATCCATTATTTTTTATTGATATACCGTATATTTTTTGTGACAAATTCTGGATACTCTGATTGATTTTATTTAGAGATAAATAGTTGGCTTCAGCGCTCTACTCGACCAAAAACAAATTGTTAACACGGGTTTCAAACCCAGGAAGTCTCTTGCAATGGTAGGCGATACGACAAATCATTGAGCTGCGAAGATTTAAATTAAGAATATGGAAAGGTATCTATAATTTTAAATAAAACACTAACGGTTTAAAGCCGTGGGGGGGGGAGGGCATGTCTCCTCGTGACGATAGCTTCCGAAAAGCATCCGAAACGTCGGCCGTAATCTTTAAATAAGTTTAACTAATATATATCGCGTTTAAATGTGTACTCGCATAAACTAATATCTATACTTACAAGACTCCTTCGCAGAATTTCGAAATTGTTAACACGATGTACGTTTGACTGAGCCCAGATATAAATGTGAAGATGAATGTACCACCAAAGCCAAGTACTACGAACGTCTTCCTTCCAAAAGCATCTGTTAGGAAACCAGCAATGATGCAGGATGTTAGCATGCCTAAAAATACGAAGACATAATATAAGAACGGGGTTGACTTAATGTCAGGTGAAAAAGCCGTATAACATTTGAACGAGATGTACTCTAGACCTATTTAGATTCAAGACATTCGTAATCCACACAATCAAACCACTTTTTTCTTCGTTCTCCTGTGATTTGTAACCCAAACAGTGTACTATTATTAATTGTGTATTTAATATCCAGATTATGCAGATAAATTTCGACAAACGAACATGTTGAATTTAATAGAAATCGAAAGATGGTGAATTTGGGTGGAGTCAAAAGTGATGTGGACGGATCACCCATCTATTGGTGGTCCCTATAAGAAAATAATAGTACGAATCGAACCCACGACCCATTGAGTATTATTCATACGCAATGTATGAATAATACCATTATGCAAACAAGAAAAATTTGTCGCCCTATATGTTGGAAGAACTCTTTTTTCATTTAATTACAAAAAAACTTACCCAAATAAGGCATAGCATTCAAAATGCCCTTCTCCAACAAATTCATATCGAGGTCGCATTCAGCTTCCGAAAGTATATAAGACGTGCTGCTTCCCATAAAGACACCAGCTATCAAGCCGACCAACGCGGTGAATATTAACCGAACATGAAAGAAACCGAAGCCGCATTCTTTCAGTGCTAGATTTACTTCAGTTATCTCGAATTTTGCTTTGAGTTGAGCGGTGCGCCCTGAAACAGTTATAGTAAAGAGTATATTATGTTCAGAAATGACACATTATATATTAAAAAGGACACTGTTAACGTAGTTGTGTGTCTACACGTATACCTACTATCGCATAGGTGATGCATATACGACATAATTATAGCCTCTTTATATATTAATTGGACTTAATTATAACATTTATACATATATACAATAATACTGTCTATAGTTTACGCGAGTAGTACACATTAAAATAAAACACTTCAACGGTTTAAAACGCGATAAATTTTAGTTAAGGGCCGTAGTTAAAAATAATTTTCAAACAAGTATAACTAAAATATATCTTTTTAAACCGTTAGAGTGTTTTATTTAAATGTGTACTACTCGCGTAAACTACAGACAGTATTCAGTTAATTAATGTTTCATTTGATGTGAAGCGAAGTAATGTGTATACCAAATATAAGCCGTGAAAGTAATTTCTTAATTAATAATCTCGAGTCTGCACAAACTTTTACATTTGCGTAAAAATTAAAAATGTTACGGCTCCGCGTAAGTTGGTCGCTGCATTACGAGGGTACTTACGACGAGATGTCTGCAAACATGTCCGCGATATGCAAATTTAATGTTCTATCCGGTCATGACCCTTTGACGACACTGTATACATTACTATAATACAGGCTGGTATTGCCAACCTATTTATATTTTTGAATAAAACCCTTTAACGGTTTAAAACGCGATAAATATTAGATAAACTTATTTGAAGTATTTATTTATATCTTATCTTATTAAATTATCAAAAAATTCGCACCTGTGGGTAGTTTCATATTTAGGTAAATTAATCTAATTTGCTGTTACGTTTTAGATACAATTAGGTATAATTTCCTGTTATATGTTTGATGTTTAATCTTTTCACCGACTTCAAAAAATATAAATATGTTTATGTTCGTCTGCGCATAAGTTCGTCTTGAATTTTTTAAAAGGATTTTTATTACAGCAAAAATTTGAAAATGTATCAGTTACTATAATTTCTGTTTCAGGAAAAAAAAAACACCGATTCCAAAAACTCATTTGTTCGATTTTCAAAAGAACTGTATTAAGATAAAACAACGTTTAAATTTTTTATTGTTTAATTAAACCTTTTAACATTTTGATTTGAAAAATTGTTTAAATTCGTCTTTTTTGCTACCGCTCCTCAAGATTGATAACAATGCTAAGTAGGTACTAGTTGTCTTGGCGGAAGATTGTTAATGGCTGAAGGGCTGTACCGTTGCCGGTCAATCTTACGATTGGCGTTTTCTTGGTGCCAAGCCAAATAGACTACCCATATAGGGCAATGGTTTGGTCGTTGTTAATAAAAATACTGTTATTTATTTATGACACAAATGTTAATATATTTCACGTTTCAATCGGTTAACTTAAAATTATTAGTTAATTTATTTCCCGATTACCCGTTGCTTCTCAGCAGCTATATTTCACTTTAAACCGTTAAAAATGTGAACTGCAAAATGAGACAAGAAATGTGAAATCTTCCATATTTGGTCTCCCCGTGACCACGGCTGCTGCAAAGCATCCGGGCCGTAGTTAAAATAATTTTCAAATAAATTAAACCAAAACCTATCGCGTTTTAAACCGATAAAGTTTTTTATTTAATCGTTTATTTTTTTCAAATTAAATACGAAAACTGTGGACAATATTTGATCCTATACTCAGTTAAAATCCTAAGTGAGTAAACAAGCACTTAACAAAAATAGTAAAATTAAAGTTATGTAAACGTTCTTATACTTTCTTAATGTAAACATTTGAATAAACAAAAATTCAGAACGGTTTAAAGATTTTTTACTATGTATATATAGAAGAAATAAATATTATACACGATATTCCGTTGTCGTTCCGTTGTCGGTAATACACTAACTTACAATGCATTTAGGTACAGTACAAATAATGATCTTTTAGCTAGACTAAAATGACGAAATTTATTATAAATATTTATATTTCTTAAGTTCTTAGGTTAGTTTTATATTTAAAAAATAGTGAATATATATAATATATATCAATTATTAAATATGTCGAAAAGTCGCGATGTTTAAAAGTGTTATGTATGAGATTGATAGAAGCAGAGTGGTCTAATAAAAAAAACATAATTTTCGGTTATTCTCGGAGATTAACATTTTTAGACTATCAAAATTTTAATGACTCTTCATCATCAGTCTTAAAATGACAGTTAGGCTACTCTGCCTCTATCAGCCTCATATGTGTGTTTAAATAAAACAGTTTAACGGTTTAAAACGCGATATGTTTTAGTTACACTCGTTTGAAAATTATTTTTAACTACGGCCCGACGTATCGGATGCTTTGTAGCAGCCGTGGTCACGGGGAGACTAAAGATGGAGGATGTCTCTGACGTCAAAGTAAAAATTGCTACACTAGCGCCATTCGTTCCGTCGAAGTTGGTATTTGGCGAAACTGGCCGGGTCCTTGCAGAATTGACTCACGGTGTCTTTGCCTTTTTCGGTTATGCTGTTTATTACCAACATATTAATTTTCAAACTAGTTTAACTAAAATAAATCGCGTTTTTAACCGTTAAGTGTTTAATTTAAATGTGTACTACTCGCGTAAACTTCAGACAGTATTTAAGTGTGTGTTGTTTATCCCATTATTGAATATTCCCTATATACTGTTTCATATTTACTAAGTGAAATATGAGTTTCATTAAATGAATTAGTATAAAATAAATAATAAAGCAAAATTCTGATAATACCAATACAAAGTCGGTATTTTATTAATTAATGTTGTATCATCACTTTGTATAATGAAAATTATTAATGATATTAAAATCTGGCATCCTTTATATAAAATTAAGGACGGACATATAACTGTGTATATTTCACTAGTCAATTATACAAAAGGGCCGTTGGTCTAATAGTAGCAATTCATTGCTAGTAATTAACGGTACGTGGCTTCGATCCTCATCGGGTGCAACATGTTACTACTCAATTTTACAATATTTCTGAAACATTTAAATAAAACACTTTAACGGTTTAAAACGCGATGTATTAGTTAAACTTATTGAAAATGATTTTTTTTAATTTTCAATAAGTTAATACGTTAAGCGTGAAAGGTCCTGGGTTCGAATCCCAGGGAAACGAAAAATTGTTTCGGTCGGGCAGGGCACAGAAGTCTGATCAACTACTTGCCTGTTAAAGAAAGTATCGGAAAACGGAAGAAACGGAGACAGAAATGTGTTTGCCTCATGCCCCACGAGGGGGAAACGGGATTTCACTACAAATGCAAATAATATTAATTTGAACAAAACACTTTAACGGTTTAAAACGCGATATATTAGTTAAACTTATTTGAAAATGATTTTTAACTTCGGCCCGACTAATATATCGCGTTTTAAACCGTTAATTTTTTTTTTAAAATGTTTACTACTCGCGTTAACGATAGACAGTATTTAATATTAATTTGATGGACCAAAATATTATTATTGCATTTAACTGGAAATCGTCCGTCCTAATATTTCACAAGTGTTTCCAATTAGATCATTGTATACATTTGAATATCAATGAGCTAGAATTGATATTTCACACAAACTATTTACTTTAGCGTCAGCTGGCTGCCTTTGAAGTTAAACGTTTTGGTGTCTTCATACTTACGTAATTAATATTTACTTAGTACAGCGATAGGTAAACGAGTTGAATAATGAATCTATCTCAACACCGTCTCTAAGGCGCAAATATTGTGTTGGTCTCAACCTAATAATGTCTCACAGTTAGGCCAAACTCTTAAACCCACCAGACCGAGTTGGGCAGGCGAGCCTTACCGCCACTAAATTAGTTAACATTAGTGCTTTAAATAAAACTTTTAAAAGGTTCGAACGCGAAATATAAGGGAACTAAAAAAAGATACCAATTGCATTTAAAAATCGCTTCTATGTGATCTGTTTGTTTAATTAGTATCTTAAGTTTTGATAGTAAGCGTAAATTAATAATTAGGTGTTCTAGCGGGTCTTTTATCAGCGCTATTAAAATACATAAACTGTATAGATTTATCAAATTTATATTTAATATAAATTTGATAAATCTATATTTAATATAAATAAATTCTCATAATTATATTATTATAATAAAGTATGTACAATTTAATTATCAATAAACTTTTTAATGGTAGAGGACCCCCAGCCTATAGTATCTAAACATGATACGCTGTCGACCTATTTTGGCTTTGGATATCCGGAAATCCACAGACTGAAACCGAAACGCGATTAAGTTTATATTGATGTAATGATTTTTTATGCTATTTTAAAGAACGTTTCCTGTAAGGTAACATAAGTAAGACTAAATACTGTCTATAGTTTACGCGAGTAGTACACATTTAAATAAAACACTTTAACGGTTTGAAACGCGATATATTAGTTAAGCTTATTTGGAAATGATTTTTAACTTCGGCACGACGTTTCGGATGCTTTGCAGCAGCCGTGCTCACGGGGAGACTGCTGCGGGAGAATAAGTTTAACTAATATATCGCGTTTCAAACCGTTAAAGTGTTTTATTTAAATAAGTAAGACTATATGGCTGACGAGCACGGGCTTCACTTATTTAAGCTTAGACATTCGGTATCCCGCACACTGTAACAAAAACACTCAACTTGACGTCTTTTTCATCTGTGAACGGTAGCTCGTGACTTAGACATAATTTCGATAATTCTATCAACCATTTATCCAGATTTTCCAACACACTTTAGAATAATTACTGATAGTAATGTTGGACGCTGTTGGGGTCGAACCCACTACCCGATCACTAAATGAAGCAATACATTGCTATCACCAACGAGCTCATATATACAGCGAACTAATAGCGTCAGAGCGCCGGAGAACGATCACTGAATAAATCGTCGTGAAGCGTGCAACAGACTGGAACTCTTTTTTTACTGGAATATGGTGGGCACTGTGCGGCCCTCAAAAAACTCGGCCACTTCCAAAATAATCGGGGATCGCAAAATTGCTAAGAGCCGCCCGTTCTTTATTCGGCAATCGTCCGGAAAAATCCAGTTATCCCAGTGTAAACTAAGTTTTATAGATTTAGTCGATGGGAAATATTGAAGTTCGATTTTGTATGGACGTTTTGTTTGCGCCCTTCGGTCTGTGATACTTCGAGTTGCGGTTGGGTAATGGGAAAAATATGTGTGGATACTGAACAGTTTATTGTTACAGCACTTTACTAATTTTAATAAACGACTCCATCTTTGAAAATATTATAGCAAATATGTGCTGTCTTTCTATTAACTTTCTACTTCATAAGCCACTTTTACACTTTACGGGAGTATTACCTACACATTTAAATAAAACACTTTTAATGGCTTAAAACGGAAAATATATTAGTTAACTTATTTATTTTACATTAATATGTTAATACGTAGTAGCCGTGGTCATAAGGGGGACCAAAGCTAAAATAAGTTAAATTATATATTTATCACATTTTAAACTGTCATTAGTTTACGCGAGTGGTAAACATTTCAATACAACATTTTATTCGTTTAAAATACGAAACGTATTACTTAAACTTAATTAAAAAATATTTTTAACTACGGCCCGTCGTTTTGGCTGATATAATTTATAAACAAGTTCAACTAATATATTCACGCTTTAAACCGTTAAAGTTACCAATCACAGTTGACCACTTGAATAGCTAAATTATTAACGTGCTTAGTAGTGCGGGAGAGATCTTGGGTTCTAATCCCGGGAAACAATAGATACGGTCGAACTTAAGCGAACGCAAATATATTAATTAAAAATACATGTTGCGGATAACTTATGTTGGCAGTTTTGATCTGCAACACATTTTTGAATTATTTAATCCTGGCTCATTTATTTAATATTAAAATCGAAAGCCAAACAGGCGTTTCTATAAGTTGTTACTCGCAAAAAGGAATATAAAACCTTAGTTCAAAAAGCAGCATGAATTTCGTCAGTTATTAGGTACCTTTTTTGCCCTTAACAATACCTTACCTAAGCACAGCCCTAGCAATATAGCTCTCAATGTTGGGCGTAAATAAAACCAAATCTCAAAGTTAGTAGGGTTGCCACGTAACCTTATTCAGCCACATTCAATATGCATGCTCCCGCACAAACAATGCAGTAGAATGTATGAGATCCCTATCTTGACTTACACTGACAATACCATTCAATTTAAACGACATAGTCATATTTGAGTCTGTAAATACTAGAATTGTTCTCAATTCAATGTTATTATGTTTACTTAAAACCGTATTTTTATGATAGAGAAAGAAACACAAACGTAGGTGATGAAAATACCCCAGCCTATTCTGGCTTTCGATGTTCTGGAGTCAGACTTAAACCAAAACGTGAATAAACTTCACGGCTTTTTCATCTGGTGCTTGCAGTTCGAATATACAGCTTAAAAAAATAAATAAATTGAAAAATTAGAAACATCTAGATTAAACACATTAACGTTGTGAAACGCGATATATTTTTGTTTAACTTGTTTGAAAATTATTTTTAACTCGGGGAGACAGTCTCGTCCCGTGAGCACGGCTGCTGCAAAGCATCCGAAACGTCGGGCTGTTGTTAAAAATAATTTGCAAACAAGTTTAACTGAAATAGCGTTAATCGCGTTTTAAACCGCTACAGTGTTTTATTTAAATTTCCATAATATTGTCGAACATTTTTTGTCCTGTCATAAATACTTTTCGCTGCGTATACGATGAAAGATATTTTATGACTAATTTTTTACACCTCCCATTGGTTTTGATAAAAATTTCTAAAGATTTCTATCATAATCGAGTACTAAATATAGCCTATGTTACTCAGTGATAATGTAGCTTTCTAATGAAAAAATAATTATTGAAATTGCTCCAGTACTTTTTGAGTTTATCCGTTACATACAAAAATACAAATCTTTCCTCTTTAATATTGGTATAGACCTAGCTATGCCCGCGACTTCGTCCGCGTGGAGTAGTTATAATGGACTTTATTTTATTTATTTTTCTAAGAACCTGCTCAGCTTTACAAATTTTAGCTGTTAAACGACGTCATTCGCGTCCCGTCGTTCTGTTAAAAGTTAATCTTAAAAGACAAACACACATCATCGTGGACATTGCTTGTGATCATTTTATCATATACATTTTTTGATTACTAGAACCGTTTTCACAGCGCACGCAACGGAAAATTTTTACGACCTAAAAGAAAATAAATTACGATACGGTCAGGCAGAGCTCCATGCTGCCGCTTTAACTAAATGAGCTACACACGAGTAAGACATAGTAGGTCCATTGCCGATTCTAATCCCGATCAAATTTGTCAATCTAAAATAGATTTAGGTATTTTTATATTTTAACATATATATATATATATGTACACTAACAATTCTGCAGTTTATTACTGACCTATAGACAGTTAATTGGAAACAATCGAAAGATCTATTAAATTCACTACGAAACGTGTTACAAGTTTTTCCGTTAAAAAGCAGAATTATATTTGTTGATAGCTTAGTTAGTATTTTTTAAATTAATTCAGTCAATTTGATTGATCTAAATGCATAGATTTTATATTGTATTGTGAAAATGCGCATTTTTCATAAACGGAGCCTGAAAATATTTTTAATATAGTTCAAGAAAATACCGCTAGCGCTAGTGTAGTATATGTTATCAAAAAGTAAGAGAAATAATAAACAGCACTACCAACATTACGAAAAATAACTCACCAGTCTCAGCAAACGACTGCAAATCAACTTCACTCATTTTATCTAAACAATATCTAAATTAGGACTAGTGTTTTCTCATTTGCCACCTTAGAGCAACAAATGATGGTACATATAAACATGATCTATATTATTAGTTATTATCTCTACCGCAATCTGTGATAGCTCTACCAATTATAACTTGAGCTATCATTTCCGCTGTGTAAGTAAAATGTTTTGGTTTTATGGCTTCGTCACGGTTCAATTTAAAATGGACGCACAGGTACGTCAACGATATTTGTCAAAAAATAATATTTATTGTGTATTAAATCTACAGGTGGTCCATACTGCTTTGTTTATATTAGTTGCGACATTGTTAAATGTTATTTTTTCGTTAATTTATAAATTCATTATATTAATGAAGACCTTGTATTACGCATGAATGTATATAAATTTTTTTTTAATTAATTTAGTGACAAAAATAATTATTTTTTATTTAATTGCGACACAATTTTTATTTTTATGGCGGCACGGAATAATTTAAGAAAAGTACTTTAAATAATCGTTAATTTTATTTAGCATTTAAAAAGATATTTCTTTATGGATTATAATTATGGAACTAGGCACTAATAGATGTCATTTTACTTTTGAAAACTGTAATATTTTTCACACCTTATGGCTAATAATAGTACTATATAAATAAAAAATCGATTCTAGATCGCTGTGGGTGTCAGCAAACAGCCTGTATAGCGTATTTAAAAACATATCGCGTATGTGATGGTATGTATATAGTTAAATATTTCACTGGGCTTGCTCACTCTGAACATGATATAAAATCTCTGTCTTTTATCTCATATTGACACACTTCTATTTACAGAGCGGTATAACCAGATGTTTTCTAATACAATATTGATATTATATCGGAAAATAAACAAAAGTTTTTATACATACTGTATATACCATTCTATGTCAATATTTCATTCATGCTCACATCTTTGATGAATTTCTTTTTATTATCTTACGTACTTATTTCATTGGCATATGATCTTTTACCTTGAAGTTAAATGATTTTTACTTGATGCCTATTTCAGCATTAGGTTAGATAGGTCTAAAGTTCGAATTGAAGAAAGATAATAGTTTGCATTAATCTGTTTAATGAATTGTTAAGTTCACGTATAAGTATTCGATTTTAAATAATACGTTATGGTTGTTATTGCCTATAAATAAATATGTTTTTTTTGTGATATTTAAGAACAGACAAGCATGGGGCGAACACGAGCCATACAATATCGAAACAAGATGCGCCGTCGACCTATTTTGGCTTTGTATATTCGGAACGGTGTACGGCGGTCCGCGATTACTACGGAATTTAGATACTCCGGCCGCCCATTTAAGATTTCGAGACGAAGTCCAACGTGTTTCAGAAAAACTATAAATCGATTAGATAAAGGTGGACCTGGTGGCGTTCAAACACACGACAGTCAAAACTATGTGACTTAGAACAGTGTTGCCCCATTCCCCAGACATACGAAAGTGAAGTTTCCCGATAAACATACAGTCATAATGAATCCGCTGTTTCAATTCAGTACAGTGCAGAAGTTGTGTAATATCAGGAAATATGAAGAAACTCAGCAAGTATTCTGTCGCTCCCTTAGGATTTGAATTGTAATTTAATATGATATCTCAAGTTTGCAGTTCTGCACTACAAAGCTCTCTGCATTCCCTGGTGGCTCTGGCACTAATGGATACACGTATTAATAAGTCTAGTCTAGGACTAGAACATCTTTTATTATAAAATCAAAATATGCCCCTAAATATGTCAAAAGAATTTTGGGTAGTGCCGGCGAAAGTGAAAAGAATTACGGCGTGCATCTTTGACATCTTTGCTATGGAACCTTGAGCGAATTGCGTTACAATATTTATTTATTGTGCTAACAATCAACGAACATGAAGGCACTATATAATTTAAAAATCGAAAATAAATTGAAAAATATCTCGACTCGGGCAGGACTTGAACACAATTGAGCTACCGACTCCTACACCTCATCGTCGAATTTTTTCAACTTATTGATACATGCACCACTCGCGCAATATAATTTCATACGCAAGTGTTAAGGTTGCAATTACATTGCGTAATTTGTAGGCGTAACACTTAATAGACTACATTTTGATGATGTAATTAAAAACATGTGACATTTTTATAAATTCCTGAAAAACCAAGTACGGCGGCAACAGTTAAAATATTTCGTGCAATGTAAACTGAAATCCAATAAGTGTTAACAGAGTACATTAAATATATTTTTATGAAAATTTACGCGAAGGATTGCAAAGTGCGGCTCTACGGACGCTGGACGTTTGCCAAAGTAAGGTTCAAATGACATTTTTTCGGGTCAAAATAAAATGTGAGTGGAAAAAGTTCGTACTTATTTATCGCAGAAAATCCGGCCCGCTATTTTGCCTCGTGAATATTTTTCAAGTCGCAAACTTTTTTAACGGTATCTGTGTTTGTGAAAAACTGTAAAGTTTCTATTTAATTTAAAGAAAAATCTGTAGTTTAACGCGAATGGTACATAAATATCCACGTTAGCAAAATACAAGATATAAAACATTCCGAAACTCAGGCCATATTAACATTAGATTAAAAAAGAAGTCAACTAATATATGTCACGTTTAAAACAGTTAAAAGTGTTTTATTTATTAACTAGTATGAAAACTTTATCATTCGTCTTTAAATGCATGGAGTTAATTCTTATATAAGATCGTATTATTGTAGGTCAATTAGAAATTCAATAAAACTCTACATCTTATGGGTACCTATCTCAATATTTCTAATCAAAGGGATGAAGAATGAAATCAAAAGAAATCAAAGATTTGTCCATACTGACTTAATAAATTGCGAATGTGTTTTTTTTATTATGAAGGACAAGAATGAATTTACTTGGTGGAGGATGGAATACCCCAGATATTTAACATCTCAACAAGATGCGCTATCGACAAGCTTTTTCTTTAGATATTCGGAAATCTACAGACTGAAATCGAAACGTGATTAAACTTCAAAACATTTTCATCTATGTTAAGTTAGAAACTTAATAACAATCTTAATAGAAAACAGAATTACCAAGGCACAATATTGGGGCCCAATCTTTTCATCTATTATAAAGATAACAATTCAATGCGATTTCTTTCTATAGCTATTGGAAAGTTAAATTCGCATTAAGCAAATATCTGCGTCGAGAGTCGTCGACTGCCAGAATGGAGGTCGTAAAGGCTGAATCGCCTGCAGCTGTAGTTCACTAGTATTTAGGTAGCCTAGATAGATCTTTAAGAAACTTCCACACTTTGAAAGTACTAATTTTTCTTTAATATAAGGAATAATTGGTGAATTTCTTTTTGTTTTTTCAATAAGTTAAAAGGTAAATTCAATCTATATAAAACACATAAGCCGTTTAAAACACGATATATATTAGTTAAACTTATTTGGAAATTATTATAACTACGCCAAATACCAACTTCGACGGAACAGATGGCGCTAGTGTAGCAGTTTTTACTTTGACGTCAGAGACCCCAACGTTTTTAGTCTCCCCGTGATCACGGCTACTGCAAAGCATCCGAAGCGTCGGGTCATAGTAAAAATAACATTCAAATAATTATTTTACTGTTATATATCGCGTTTTAATCCGTGAAAGGGTAAAAAAAAAATAGTAATTTTTCTTTAATGTAGGGAATAATTGGCGGAATGCTTTTTTATTTTGCGTTCCGTTTTTTTCATCAAGTTAAACGTGAAAAGGTAAATTAAACCCAAATCAAAAAGGACAAAGACTTTGACGTACCGTCAGTCTTATACAAGCTTCTACATAATCGCTCGTATAAAACAAAATCGCTCGTATAAATTGTGTTGTTATGTTTGCTTTGTTATTTATATGCATGAATAATTTTTAATACTTACCTGTATTTTTTTAAATATTTCTCACGTGAAGACTTTCTACTATAAACGTCCAAAAAACATCGTAAAGCCACGGCAATTAACAAGCCTACAACCAAATTATAAATTATTGTGCAATCAAGAATGTTTGAAACAAAATTAGGGCATTGAGCGATCAATTTATATTACACAAGTTCCTAATCTGTTTAAAACTATTGTACATCATGGATTGTATGTACTTCTATATAAAGTTAAAAGATAATTTATCATACTAAAAAAGTGATTTCAGCTCAATCTTAGTCAAGTTTCGTGAGAATCTTATTAAAACCTGTGATCTCTTTACGTGCGCGAGAGATTTGATAGTTATATGTTCTTTCTGAACAATTAGACTGGATATTCTTTCTATGTGCAAAGCTTTTGGATACATCAGTTTACTGTTTTCTAGCGTTTTTTTTGTCATTATCCAAAAGCTTCTCTCAGGAAGAATAACCAGTCTAGTATTACCGACTATAGCCATTACATAAATAGAGTAAACTTTATTATTGTCCATACAGATTAAAAAGCATAGGAAATTAACCCCGTTAGTTTTAAGGTTGGTATTACATTGACATTAATTTGCATCAATGGGTAAAATAAATTTGATAATGACGAGCGAGACACGTTAGCGCAATTGGTAACAGCAGCACGCTGTGGACGCCGGCTCAATTCCCTTAAGCGTTATCATCTTGTTTTTAATCTAAAATGATTTTTCATTAAAAAATAGTGACAAAGGGCGAGCTAACAACGCTCCGTACATTCAGATATCTTTAACCTGTGAGATGAGAGTGTGGCTAACATTCTCGTAATAAATGGACTTTTGAATTCCGAATTCCACGGATTTGATTTATTATTAATAATTAATCAACGGATTGTGGCTTAGATTCCTATAGTCCAGCATGTATCTAATTTAGTTTTTAATTTTTAACAATCGTCTTGTTGTGGCTGGTAAATGAAATTAAAGCGACATACTAATTACAAACAAATTGTATGTATTTTAGAAAGTAATACTATACTTATATATATTTTTTAAATATTCATAAAAATGAGATACTTTTCTAAACAAAACAATATCGAAGCCCTATATTTTCCTAATTTACCAT